ATTTCTGGGTGGGGATGTGCCGCTGGGACCCTGGAACCCTTAACCTATACCAGACCTAGTTCAGCTGAATTTTGCTACCCTATACCAGAGTAAACTCCCCAAATCCCCCTATCCTAGAGTAGCTGTTTCCCTTGTCCAGATAAAATCTTCAACGAACTGATCAGTTTCCTGAAAAATGATCCCCTATTCTAGACCCAAACGCTCTGATTTATATACCCTATCCTAGAGTAAACTACCTGAAAACCATACCATTCACAGCGGCACATACCTATATAGCCCATATATGGCAGTACCCCCCCCCGGGCGTTTTTGTCATGTCAGCGCTGACAATTGGTTCATTAGTCTCGTTGAAGTTCCTGTTTGGGCTTGCTAACCAGCGTTTTAGTTTTTCATCGGTTTTGTAGCTTTTTACTGATCACAACTATGTAGGTTCAGAAATACCAAAACATTACCCACACCGAGTTCACCTTGTTTTTTATTCCCACCGTCAGCTAACTCAAGCATGTCCAGCTTTGGTCAGCTATTTGACTTAGTTAAGAGCAAGGATTGAGTAGAGAAGAAGAGTAAGAAGATTAAGATTGTTAGCGGGCGTCAAAGAAGATAATAAATAAAGACCAAGATGTTAATCAGATTCCTAGTACCTCATCGTGTAGCGAGCGAGTTGATTGAATGAATGTTGTGTCGGTTAATTGCGGGGGGCTTAAGTGCTAGGCAGTACTGTAGTTAATACGGTATTGAACGTGGTCACTTGCAAAGTACACTATATTGTCGAGACTAAGACGAAATAATTAAGGAATTGTGCATTATCAAATGTGAGCCTCCACAGGAATTTGATGCTAAAGGTGAAAGCGCTCGTACGACACGCTTGCACGACACGCTTAGCGTGCCGTAGATCACGGATATGCGCATATTAAATTGAAAAAACAAAGACGGACACACTTGCCTTTGTTTTGGCAAATTTAACACGCTAGACGTTCTGTTTTTTTGTAGCGTGCCATATGTCACGGTAAGTGTGCGAATTATAGCACGGTTAGCGTGCAATTAGGGTAAGACACGCTGAACACGCTTGATTACTAAAACCGCTAAGATAATAAAAATGGCTTGGGTTTTCAGCCGATTTAATCAGCATTGATAACTGGTCGAAGTGAATCAAATATACCAATTGAGACTGTTTTGGAATTTGATAGTAACCGTGGCCATTTGAAAATCAGGACTTAATGGTCTTCTAGCCTGGAATTAACGCGAGATCAGTGTAAACCAATTCCTCCCGCTGTCGGCTGTTGACCGGAATCGCAAAGAGGCCTGCTATCGCATGCGAGGCACTGAAGTTATGTCGCCTGAAAATTATAGTTATGCCACCGGAATATTTATTAGCAGTTATGCACAGAGAAATGAAGTTGAATAAATTAGTTTAATATATTTCTTTAAGCCATGCTGAGACGAACAAAGGTAATTAAATCGGAGAAACAAAAACTGCCTAGAATTTTCTATAGGTTGAGGAAGACTAAACATTTCTAGATGACCGTTCCATGCATGTACAATTTTCGAAGGTTATCTAATAAATTCCTTACGATTTTCTGAAGTTTAATTTTTCCATTTCATTCCCCAGTTAAGTTATTTTTCGTAGAGAATTAAGGAATCCTAAAATTTTCGGAACCGAAAATACGATAAAATTCTCACTTTCCTAAAAATTTTAATTGGAAGCTAAATTTTTCGGGAAAATAATGCTGAAGCCCTTGTAATTTCGAAGCGCTATCAATCATAATTTATGTGAAGATATCTCGTTACGCTATGCTAAGACGAATCAAGCGCTGTAAACGTGTACTATATCTCGTTCTTCACAGGACGAAAGAAAACAAGAATCTGTAACCCTTACCAAATCCAACACTGTTTTGAATGTATTTTTAAGCTATTTTTGAAAACTGTTTTTAACCTGTTTTGTGAAATAGGTTTTAAATAGGGTAAAAAGTGTATTTTTAATGTATTTTTCGACTGCTTTTAAAGGTGTTTTAACCTGTTTAAAACGCTATTAAAAAAGAATTTTTAAAGTATTTTAAAATGCTTTTAAAATATATAAAAAATTCCAGGGCTTTTGCAAGGCTCAAAACAGGTCAAAAACAGTTTTTAAATACCTTATAAATCGGAATAAAAACAGGATACAAACAGTTTCAAAAACATATTTTAATTTACTATACTATTTTAAAACTATTTTTAATGTCAATTTTAAACGTATTTTGAAAAAAAACAGGTTTAAAATAGGTACAAAAATATATTTTTGATATATTTTTCGACTGATTTTAAAGGTGTTTTAACCTGTTTAAAACGCTATTAAAATGTTATGCTTCAAAATATATTTTAATAGCTGTTTAATCGGTTTCGAAATTTAGTAAAATACTCGTATTTGCAAATACAATAAAAATACTTTGAAAACAGTATTAAAATACCACAGAAGAAGAAAAGCAATAGCACACATATATTATGAATTAAATACATCAAAAATAGGATGCAAAAATGCAAAAACAGTATAAAATTGTAAGAACATAGCCTTAGAGTTGTCTGAAAACAGTATAAAAATCGGTCGAAAGAGCATAAAAATAGTACAAAAACAGGATGGAAATACCATTTAAATTCATGAAATAAAATGAATACAAAACCGTCGAAAATTACCCTGAAAAAAAGCAAGATTTACGTCGGCGAAATTTCTCCACACAGTCCTAGGCTAGGACTTCAAGAGAATTATCTCTTAGCCGATTACTTTACGTTGATTTCCCTAAGAATTCTCGGGAAATTCTTATGGAATTTTTCAGAAATGCTCAAATCAATCTCTAGCCTGTGTACAGACCCCTTCCCTCAATAAAACTCGGAGGGGAGGGGTGGGGGGTATGTACACAGGCTATCAACCTTTGGCTTCAAAAGGGTATAACGTTACTGACGTTACCGGTAAATATTAATCTACATGCATGTAACTTACATTGTTTATTATATTCACGGCTTTACTCAAATATCATCAGAAGCTTAATGCAGGCTACGCCTGAACATTAATTAGTGGCTGATAAAGAACAGCATACGAATAAATTTACGCGAGAATGAAAGAGGCCGGTGACGTGACATCAAGTGACTGAGATCATTTATACAAAACAGCGAGTCTCTGCAAGGAATCCTGTAAAAAGTAAAATTGCCATACGGGCGCGACTATATAAATGTTTACTACCCTTCATTTGTTTCTCATATGGCGTATATCTAAGCGTCTTAGTAACATTGTATATTTAATACTTACAATTAGACTGTTGGACTCTTCTCCTGAACCAGAACCTTTCAAAGTACATAACAGTCGCTGAGGAGTTATAACCATTTTTGATTCGTGATAAAAGCAACATCTACGTGTTCCGACAATCCGCAGAGTTGGAGTGTACTTTTGTAAGATCGTAACAAACAGTAAAATCAAGCGCATTTAAGCTCACAGCAACCGCCCGGGAGCAACCGCCGGTTCAATAATTTGAAATGAGCAAAGGACAAAGGACGGTTTGCTTATCACGTGCATTTGTCACATCACCGCGGCGCGAAGTCGTGATTTCAGTCGCGCGTGACATCTCAAAAATAATATGCCATGCATGTGCGGAATAGTCTATGAGAGAAAGATAACCATATGTCGGAGTTTATTCAGATGTGAGCGTTGTTTCTTAGTGCAATATATACGAGGTGAGATCTTAGCTTGGATATAGTTTGTTTTAATTATTATGAAATTTCTAGGACTTATTTTAGACAAATCTCAATTGACCGCGTGCATCCGGTTCTCGGCCCGCGGCTTCGGCTGTTTGCGAAAAATTTCTACATGAAAATTAAAATGTGATTTTAAGAATTTTCTTTTAAAAAAACTTATGGAATGTCCCGTAGCTGCATTAATTGAATCACGGCTAAAATCTAGGCGGAGATTTTCGCAGAGAGCTTGCAGGTAATGAACATTGAGGAACGCGGATTGATCCTTTATCGGCACACTGTCACAGTTACGTGTTGTCAGTCAAAGCTAAAATCTATTCCTAAATTTCTTCTCTTTTTTCAATTTCTTTTTGATTTGCTGGGAGATTTAATTTTTGGCTCCGCCTCGAGCTTTATTGAGAGAAGAATCCGGTCCACAATATGACAGCTTGTTTTGAGTCATTTATGAACTCGTGACACGATGAATCCTTAAAAATTAACTTTGTGCAATTGTTACTTTTATAGTCTGAGTATAAGTATCCCAAAATACATTACAATATTGCACCTCAATAATAATAAGTAATAAGTACCCTATTTTAAAGTATTTAAAATAAGGTCAGCATTTGATGTCTTTCAGCAGACTTTGAATATTTTATGTACAATCTGTTTTTATAGTCAGAGTGTTGTGTGCCCAAAATACAATTCAAATAGACCTCAAAACAGTGTTTAAGTACTCTATTTAAAAGTATTTGAAATGCGGTCAGTAGTTAAGGACTTAAAACATATTTCAAATAGTCTATTTGAACTCTGTTTGTAACTTTGTGAGTGGATGCGTCTCAAAATACATTTTCGATACAACTCAAAACAGTGTTAAAGTACCCTATTTAAAAGTATTTAAGATACGGTCAGCATTTAGGCTCTCAAAACATATTTTAAATAGTCTATTTGAATTATGTTTGTAACTTTGTGAGTGGATGCGCCTCAAAATACATTGTAGATGCAACTCAAAACAGTGTTAAAGCACCCTATTTAAAAGTATTTAAAAAACAGTTGCATTTAAGCCCTTAAAACATATTTCAAATAGTCTATTTGAACTCTGTTTGTAACAGTGTTAGTGGTTCTATGCCCAAAATACATTTGAAATACCCTATTTTAATCATATTTATTAAACAAAATACATTGTAAATTGATGAGAGAGGTTTTCCTTTTGATGAAATATAATTTAACTACACTTAAGATATATTCCAAACAGGGGCGAAAATTTAAATTTTTTTGTCAAATAGGATTAAAATACAGGAAAATAGTATTCAAATACTGAAAATACATTTTAAACACTTTAAAATCAGTTTCAAAATACATATGGTTTGGTAAGGGAAACTAAAAACACTGTAGAATGAGGAAGGATTGCGTGCGACTTTTCTTTGAATTTTGGGCGACAAAACTCATATTATCAGGTTTTGGACGACATAATTTCAAACGACATCACTTTCGAGTAGCTTGACCGTCACCCCTTTAGATCGAGCTCGATGAATTAATTCAATGACCGAACTTTATGGAACAAATGATTACCTTCAAGAATTTCACGCGGACTACTTTTAATTTGGTTCTTTTTCTCTTTTCTCAGTGTGTGACTGACAGAGATTTAATTCTCGGATCGAGCTTTAGTACTCTAAACACACCGTATTATCGTGGCAAAAACAAAGAATCAAACAAAAAAGCACCATACAATTTCGGAATTCTGTTAAAAAATACACTTTTTACTTACTATTCAAAAAGCGTTGAAACAGTCATTAATTAACTGATGTTTCCTTTTTTGTGTTATTGTCGGCCGGATCAATTAAGCAACGTTGGAAACGTTTTGGAATTTTGGTACATCTAGAAAAGCAGGCTGGTTTTCAGTTGATCACTACGATCCTTGCAATCGCTAAAAAATAGATACAATTTAGTGATCCTGGCACTTGATGATTTCTATTATATTTGATCGGCAAGAAAGTCTTAAGTTCGAAAGATCACTGTTTCTGAGAAAATTGCAAATGTGTTTTAAATTAAGGAAAGTTAAGATAACCTTTGCACAGCTTCGTCAGTAAACATTTCTGGAAAGAACTTTGATTTTGCAATGCTAATATAGTTCTACCCATAAATCCAGTAGGTCACACCGTTCACTGTTTATACTTTTCAAGCGACAACGTTTTTTCAATCAGATACTGTCGCTGCGATCGCTGAGGTATAACTTTTTCTTTCTCGATAATTACCAAAAAAGGGTGACGTTCATAATCATTTACGGTTCCTTTTTGTAGAGGAAATTTATTTAGCTCATAGATAACACGCCTTGCGTGCTTTTGCGCACACTGAAAGCGTGTAGTGCTTTTTCGCACCGAGTTTTTGTTTGAAAACTTTAACACGCTCTTTTGTTCGACTTGCTCACGCTTAATTGTCTTAAGCGTGTCCTCTGAAACAAAAGAAATTGCTAATGAGGCAAGATTGCAAGCGTGCTAAAGCGTGTTAAAATAAATTCTTTTGTTTTAAAGTGAAAGCGTGTCGTGCGCGTGCTTTCACCTTTAGCATTAAAATCCTGTGGAGGGTCACAAATGCACTCTCATCGTCACATATGTCATTTTTCAGTATGTCAACACAACTGGAGCTCGAGTGTGTTTAAAGGAGTTGTACAAGTCAAAGTACGACCCTCTCTCTGTATCATATACTGTCTTGTCAGGTAAGAACGGTTTAATGGCATTCTTTTTTTTAGCAACACATAGGTTTTACTGATTACTCACAACTAATTCATCATGAATGCATATAGAGATAACTTATATAGGAGGGTCATTTCATTAATAGAGAAAGGCGATCATTTTAAATATTACCTCCTTGGAAGTCGTTCAATGTTTTTGGTACTGATTATTCCATTTAATCAGTAGATACTGCTCTCAATTTGGCGTCGTCAGTTTTATTTTCCTCTTTTCCTCCTGCTAAGCGTATCGGCCCCACAAGCAGTTGGAATGATGTTTGTGAAGCTGCCTCGTCCCAGTCGCTCGCGTTGCTTGCCTGCATTTCTTGCGCTTCTCGATTGTTCTGTTCTCCCTACTAAGCCTTGGGAAAGCCTGTGGAGAAGGCACTCTTTAAGGGACCAATTGTGTGGAGATTTCTAAACTGCACAGTCGTTTTATATCTTTATCACAGATATTTGCCAGCCAAGATGGAGTTTTTTTGGTGGCTACTGTTACTTCACAAGTCGTGCATGCGCCTCGTGGCTGACCGCTGAATCAAACTGTTCTACAATGAGTTCCAATTTGGTAACGGTTCACAATCAAGAAGAAAATGTCTACATTCAACACCGTCACAACGGAGAGAGATCTTGGATTGGACTCAATGATCGAAGTGTGGAAGGCTCCTTTGTATGGACAAACAAAGAAATAAGCAAATTTAGGTTCTGGGCCCCACAGCAACCGAACGACTGGAAAAATGAAGACTGTGTTCACACTCTTGGCGCCAAGCATGGTTACACTTGGAATGATGTGCCATGTACTAACTGTTACAACTACACTTGTTTTAAAGGTAATAAGCGTAGAACTATGAAGATTTATAACTATATATCCTAATCTCCATGTTCCAGATAGTGAATCTACTGAGTTAAAACTACATTCAAAAAGGTCGAAACACAATAACAGCATGTTAGGCAGATGGTTAGATAGATTGCATGAAAAGGAAGAGAGAGTAACACCGATCAGTTTCATTGTTAGAAACATAGGGAAACAAGTCGTATACATTTGCATTAAAAAAAATGTCCTTTGACCAAAAAATGGCCGCAAAAGCCAGAAATCGGCGTAATCAAAAGAAGAACGAGAAAGCGTTCATACGTTGGAACCACGGGAATGGTCGCGCTAACTCCCGCTTACTTTTTAACCCGGTTTTCCAAACACCTCTTTGCAAATTATTAACGAACATAAGCACATACGTTAACCATTAACTGAAAAAAGTCATATTGTTTGACAAGAAGCCTCTGTGTGCTTACTTTTTAGACTTGGATGAATGTACTACTGGTTCCCATTCCTGTGACGTTAATTCCGTTTGCCAGAATACCGTGGGTTCATACACATGCTCGTGTAATGCTGGGTACACAGGAGATGGAAAACCTTGCAATGGTATTTGAGATATAGTTGATCCTCCTTGTGCGACCATCTCTTCTAAGCGACCCATAAGTCGACATAGAGCTACACATATCGTAACTTTGAAATTGCACACAATGAATTGTTTTTCAAAGAGACGACCTACTCTAATCTAAAGGTTCTTAAACAAGACGATGAAACCATTGAAGGTGCAATGTTTGTGTGCAAAAGCTCAACTGCACAACACTGTCATGTCATTTTGGAAAAAAGCCTAAAATCATATTTGTTGTAACATGCAAACAACAAACAAACAAGAACCAAAAAAATGAATACATCCGCCTTAGCTACGAGATGTAAACCATCAGGTAGATTTAATATTTGTTATTCTAACGCTTTACGTAACTTACAATTCTCATGCAGATATCGACGAGTGTTCTACCAACTCTCACAGCTGTGACGTTAATGCGGTTTGTAGCAATACTGTTGGATCGTACGCATGCGCATGTAAAGCAGGATTCACGGGCGATGGAAAAACATGCTCTGGTAAGCTGTTGTGGTGTTGTAAAACACGCCTCCAAAACGATGTGCGTGCCTGTATTTTCTATACTCGATCTTTACATTTAAACATGTAGAAAACGATGGACATATAACCTCAATAGTTCGAAATAATAATTAAAGCGAAACTAGAAATACGTATCTCGCAAAATTTCACTAAACTCGTTCTTGCACAGTTGTCAAGCCCAGCCGGTTAGAAACTGACCTGGGACTCTTCTCTGTCTTTTTTTTTTGTTTCATTATCCTATTTGATTTTCAAATACGTATTTTAAAGCATATTTAGCACTATTTCGGCTTAACCTCAAAACAAAGATAGATTTCAGGGAAGTTTAAAGGTTTTTTTTTCTCTAAAACCCAAACTGAAACGCACGTCCGACAAACATATCCTGCGGGCTAAAGCAAACTTGTCTGCGCGAGTGAGACGCACTGACAAATGTTCATTTTATCCGTCAATTATCGCTGTTATTTTGAAGCTGATGGTCCAATTTGCTTCAAAGTTCTCTTTAAAATACTTCTCCTATCTGAATTTATCGCGAAAACCATTTTTTGATCGCCAAAACGCTCCATGTAGCGGCACAAAATTATAAACCCAGACAACGCGAGGACTTCGGCCGCCCTTCGCGCGGGGCAAATCAAAGCGACCAACTGAACAAACTTTGCTGTTGTATTTAATAAAAATTGGCATTGAATCGTTATGCATTTAATTTTCAGAAAGGAAATTTACTCCCTCTAATACTCCCTCTTATTATAGCTATTCTGCTATAAGGGCTAAGAAAAAGTCACAAATATAAACCTTCTTGAGACTTCCTCGCCTTCTGAGGTTCTTTTTTTTCGAATTGTGTCTATTACGTGTAATTTAATGTCCTCCCCGTTCGTTTATATGTAAAAAAAAGGCAAAAAATAAATAAATAAATAAATAGAAAATAAAGTAACGATTACCTATTGTAGTTAAGCAGGATTTTAATGAAAATAAGAGCTAATCACCTTACTGATCAAGAGTTTGCTGCATCACTAAACTTGAAAGCTTCCTCACTTTTTTCGCCAGATATCGACGAGTGTTCTACCAACTCTCACAGCTGTGACGTTAATGCGGTGTGTAGCAATAATGTGGGATCTTACGCATGCTCATGTAAAGCAGGATACACAGGCAATGGAAACACCTGCACTGGTGAGCCGATTGAGTTTAATTTCGTTTGTATGATATGTTTGTTTTAAGATTGAATGCAACGACAACAACGCAAGAATCTTTTGTGCTCCTTTCGTCTTTTACAGTTTAAGTTTTGGTTTTGCAGGAATTTAGATTAATTTTACCATTGACTGTATGTAGTAAACAAATAGATGAAAAGCGGAGCCAAGCAGCCAGTTTATATCATCGGTTAATAAGTGCAACGATGGTTATTGTTCAAACTTGCGATCATTTTTTATGCCTAAAAGTCAATTGGTTAGATACCCTAACCGTGAAACAATGGGAAATAATGATAAACAAATGAATGATGTGTTATTGTTTCTGCGACCAATGAGGAAACACCTTACGAGGAGCTCTATATCATTGCTGTTTTTTTTAATCGCGCTTAAGATAATTCATTCCGTTTTCTCTTAGCAATGAAAACCGTTTTGATTATACATTTTGGTATTATTCGTTTTGTAGATATTGACGAGTGCGCCAGCGGTACTCACAACTGCCACAGTTCACTTGCTTCATGTACAAACACAGTGGGATCCTTTAGTTGTTCATGTAACAGTCCTTCCAGCGGAGATGGCAGAACTTGCAATCTACCATCAGGTAATCAACTCGCCGAATATTAGGAAGATGTCCATTGACTAGACCTCTAATATGCCGGCAGTCTAGCGATTAACGGACCATGATTCTTATAGACATCACTTATCTGACGGCGGGAGCTTTGAGATAATGGCAGTTTCTTGGTGTTGCGGAGAGGAAAACTTAGTAAACATTTCCCACAACAGAAAAAAAAAAGCGAACTAACGTTAATTAGCTTCTGCAACACCAAGAAACAATGCACCCAAGATAACATATACTAGAGAGTTCAGTATACTCCATTGGAAAGTGTAAGAAAACGAATTTTAGTCGCGACCCGAGCAAGTAAGAGAAACTGAAACGTTGCGACAAGGACCCCATTAGCTGCCATAAACTGATCAGATGGACTCAGATCAGTGGCCAACTTAAAACCTTCAGCATCATCAATGCGTTCTTGGTCCAATTTTTTACAAGAGAGAAAGAAGCTTCACTATAAGAAACATATGAAAATGGAGCGTGGTAAATCCGTTGCACAAGGCGAATAGTACGGGGGTGCTACATACGTGAAAGGTTTAACTAGCAGAAATCACTTTGTCATTAGACCCTTCTCACTAAAATGGTTTAAGTAGAAGCATGGGAGTAGTAGGGCTTCAGCAAAATTTACCTCGTTGGTGCGTTCCCTTTGCGTTCCGTGTGTGTTCCCTCGCAAAAAGTGGGTTTCCTTTATTAATATGCATAACGGTCGAGTCAATGACGTCATCTATTGTGATAACCTAGGGAAAAAATGGGTTCCTCCATACTAATTAAGTGCCTAGTCAGTGTCTTCCTGCATACTAATTCGGTATAGGTTTACTAATGAGCGTCACTCTACTACAATAGGAACAATAGGCTTGCCTAGACTTGCCCGGGCTCTTTTAACCCTGATTGGATAGTAAACAATCTATTATGTGTTTAACATAAAAGCGCGCTTTCCCTTCAGTATTTCCTTCTCGCAATCGCTTTACTAAGGAAAAAGTCTTACTATCACCAATATTTTTTAAAACATTGCTCCAAACATGCAAGTCAAATCGAGCTGTAAACTTGTCTGACTATTACAGAACTGTTTTCTCCCATCTATCTCTCGTCTCAACGTTTCACGCACAGTTAATGAGGTAATTATGCGAGTCCACAAGCCCAAAGTTGAATACAAATTAGCTCTACAGGAAAAACCTCAAGGGAGCAAATTGACGTATTATTATAAAACAGATAACTTAACAAGGATCAATTAAAACACGCGACTCATAATTGCTAGCAATAAAACCACAAGAGAGATGCCGTTTTGAAAACTTTATTAAAAGTCAATAACAAAAAGAGTCAAATACACAGTGATTTGAAAGGAAAAGGAATGAAAATTAATCCTTTGACTGACTATTACAAATCAGTTTTTTTTTTTCCGTTCTATTTCCAGGAATAATAAACAATCCTTCGGTGTCTACACAATTTTCCTATTGCCTCGAAGCCAAGAGTTCGACTTTCTTTGTTTCTTGCGCTTTGTCTTGTTCTTTGTAGCCGGTCTTTTAGCTTTTGCTTCAAAAGAGGATTCATTTCTCTGTGATCTTGACAGTTCACAGTACACCGTTTCTTGTGTCTGTACTGGCTGACTACCGGCATAGGGAACGTCGTTACATCCGGTACTAGGAGTGTCCTAATACTCATTTCGTACCTAAGTGACTAAACCAGCCTTCAACAAATGTTTGAGCTTCTCACTCTTCTCACTGGTTCAATAATTGTTGAATATATGAACTGTTGATTGCTAAATAAGGTTATCTCAATATAAGCTTCAATAGAAGACGAACACTTTGAACTTGTCTCCGCCATGTTAAGGCGAGGAATAAAAAAATCATTATATCGATCACAATATGTGCACTATTCAGTTTTAATCAGGCGAGTTTATTTCCTTAATTTTGCCGATTAACTGCTAATGCGGTTAACTTACAGTCGAGAGCTAACTGTTACCTAACAACAACTTTATGTTGAACAGAGGAAGAGTTAAGTTAGTAGTCTTATTTATTTGTCGATAGGGTAAAAATATCTTTTTTGTCGACTGGAGATATAAACTGCATGCATTCGGAGATAGACCCAAAGCAAGAGACAGACAGTGTTCCACTAAATCCTAATTCGCTAGTATCTTTTCCCTTTTTTTGGTATATTGTGTCTTATATTTTGTTTTTATTCATTCACGGTGACCTTTGAAAGAAATTCAGTTTGCTGCATCCGCTTTCCTTTACCTTACAGTGTATTTTGTTTCGCTCTTTTTTTCCTTTTTTCTTATTCATTAATTCTGTGCAAATTTGTTTTACGACATTTTACCCAGAACGCCAAACAAAGTTAAACACGACTTCAATCAGTAATATATTCGCACAGTGCGCAACATTACATTGGGGGGAGCTTAAGCATTGAAGACCGCCATAGTAATAAATTTAGATTAGCAACTTTGCACGTTTATCATGCTTTACTGAATAAGGTGAAACTTCCTTGACAAAATTATCAATATTTACTAGGCGTATCGTCCAATGGTCTTTATGAATTTAAACACTTGGGGCGGGGAGGGAGGGGGATTAATTCGGTCTGAGGGAAAATACGAGTTAGAATGGCTGAAACAATTTAATGCAGATAAGGATGAACGTTTTATATAAATAGTAATGCAAATGAACTGTTATGTAATACGGTCATCCTAATTTGCAGCAAAATGAAAAGTCAAAACGTACTTGAACAAAAACAATCGAAGTAAAAAAAAAATCACCCTAAAACAAACAACAACAAGAACTTTTGCCCGAAAAAAAAAACCTTATTCATAAAAAAAAAAAAAAAAAAAAAAAAAAAAAAAAAAGTTTTTTAAGTGAGAAACACCAGGTCAATCCAATTTCACTACTGATATCGGGCCAAGGAGAAGCTGGTGAAGCCGGAGACACAAACAGTTCTTACATGTACCCGTCACTGACCGGTTTACGATTCTGCAAAACTTATGAATTCCCATTATGTCGCGTCGCGTCGTAGTTAGATGGAGCGACACTCTCTTTGAACGTTTTTCCCTCTTGTACGATTCAGAATAACTGTCACTGCAAATTTATTTAATTTGGATAGCCGTTTTGCGAAGGCACGTAGACGCTTAAGGCCTGTTTACATGGAAGTAGGGGTCCCTAGGTTTAAGTGAGGTGACCCGCTTAGGTAGGGTAACCCGCCTGTCTTTATTACAATCTCTCATATGGTCACTCCTGCCTATCATGTAAACTTGATCAAATTAAAATGAGAGATTATATGAACAGGCGGGTTACCAACTACACGTGAACAGGTCTCTAAACTGTGTACTTGAGGTTGTACAATGTATTTGCATAATTATATCTGACCAACCTTTGTTATTTTGGCTGCTTGTGTGTTCCTATTTTATTGCTGCTTTTTTAATTGTTTTTTTTTTTTTCAGTAAAAAAGAGAAAGCGGTTATTTAGCAAAATCCTATTGAAATGAAATATTTAGTAACAGTAATAGTTTATCAGGCTACCCCATAAAATGGCTTTTCAGCCAACTTTGCAATTGCAATTTGATAATTAAAAGCATAATTATCTACTTTACAATATGTGAAATTTATTGGAAAAAAACTGAAATAAGGAAATGACGCCTCTTCAGTTCAGCCTTACCATCAATCCTCTATTAAGCCCCCCTCTCTATTAAGCCCCCGCTCAAAAGTGCTTGAAAAAAATAAGCCCCCGAGGGGCTCAATAGAGGATTTACGGTAAGCTGCTTGACATTCTCTTTATTACCTAAAGATTCTGCAAAGTCATTCCAGAAGCGGACTGCTCATGGCAGCTGACCGGCAGAGAATCTAAAGGAAGGCATGTCTGACTTGTTTCTGTTTCCGATATTACGAGAGTGCGCATCGACCATTTTCTTAAACCTGTTACAGATAAGGGGCTGGGCAAGTCTCTTAACATGTGTTAAATAAGCTCGAATTTTTTTTAAGGCTTATCAAAGAAAGCAAGGCACACGTTTTATCACTGGTTAGAAAATCGAATGTTAAGCCAGCGATAAAACACTGCTGTTCATATTTTAAACATTACTAAACACAGAACGCTTTCAGACTAGAAAACGATTGTTTTTCCTTTTCCTACATTGAGATACATTACCGTAGAATTAAACACCAAAAACCATTCACCAACATTTGACAATCAATTTGAACGAAATGGAATAAGAGTGATAAAAATTAATTTGAAACAGCGTGAATACACTTTTTTGTGGCGTTTTTGCTCCAAGCTTACATGGAAATTAAAGAGACTGTGACTGATAATGAGATCGGGTATACCAAATATGGAGAATACGGACTCTACGCCTCCGACTTAGTTTAATAAACTCTGGAGTAGCTAAACTGTAACGTCACTGAAATTCGCAGTAGACTGCGATTTTGAAACCGCACCATTTGAAGAGAGAGCATCATGCCGCTAGCACGCAAGCTCAGAAAGAAAAAAATTTATAGGCGTTTGTTTTTTCCGCTTTTCAGTCTGATCATTATGATAACAAACTTTATGTGACCCTTGTGCGAGCTTTGTTTTATAAAGGGTAGATCTCCAGGAAGTCTAGTTCGCTTCTTTCTGTTATTTGCTCTATGAGATCCCTTGACGTACACGGATCCGTGCAGAAGAAGAAAATTAAATTGTTTGAAATTGCAGGCAATGAAAAAATCAAACAGGAATAGTTCATACTTCCGTTTGAGTTCATGGGCATCCTCACTTAAGGGATTTTGAAACTCGATCTTGCTGCCAATGTTCCAAGTCAACCTTATAGCACAAGGCCACTCAGTAAGAATTGTTTTTTTTGTTTTACAGTTACAAAGGTAAAAAGTAAAAGTATTTTATTACCGACACCACGACGCGCGAGATTTGTGAGTTTCCTTAGATAGCCACATTTTCATAAACTAACTGAGTTATTCCTCACGCGCTGATTGGCTAATTTCTATCAATACGAAGAGGACAGACATAAAATTTTAATTTCTGCAAGACGGAACACCCGCTTAATACGGGCACCCGTATATAACGGACAGTTTCTAAAATTTACCCTTTAATACGGACACCGATTCATACGGACACAATGGACACTTTTCTGTGTCCTGAGGCACAAACTCTGTCAACCATGCTATTTACGGGCACTGGCTATCTGCGTACCGTCTATTTTTCTTGTCACAATCACGTGCTATTTGTAGATATTTCACACTGTCCAAACAATGACAGATTTCTGGGTTTAAGTAGCAGAATAGTTTGATATGTTTGATTTTAAGTCAGTCTTTCTTTCCGTGTACTATATAGCCATTTAATAATTACTACTCAAGTTTCACTTCCTTGGCTTTTCGGCGCAGTCATTGTTCCTACCCTTCTTCCTCTTTGTCTGCCATAGTCTTTATATCAATACAAGATGTTTCCGGGACGTTTTTACGGAGAGCCCACTTAATACGGCCATCCGCATGATACGGACACCATGGCATGTGCCCTAATGTGTCCGTATTAACCGGGTTCTACTGTTAGTAGTTTCTTTTTGAAAGGCAAAATGTTTTTTACTGATCCTTTTTCCAAACTTTTGTTAAAGTAAAGAGCAAATTGACGCCATGTCCGCAGCAACATTGTCAAACTTTCTAGTAGATTCACTCGCCTGGGGCTCGTGCTCGTGGATCTACAACACTTTGACAATGTCATGCTGCGATGTTATGATCAATGTGGTAAAAGGGTAAAAAAACGATGAAAGAAAAAAAAGAATGGAAGTAGACACGTACGCCGGGATTGGAACCCAGTTGCACCCCAACTTCCTCCAGCGAAAAAGTGCGGCCTCTGACCACTGGGACATGAGACCATTGCACCGATAAGTCACCAAAATTAATACTGTTATTATTAATAGTGTCAATCAGCCTATAAGCGGGACCATAGTACAGAGACGGCTCTTATTAGAGTCCACAATGACATAGCCATGGCAATAGATCAACATAATTCAGTTATCCTAGTACTTCTCGATCTTTCTGCTGCATTTGATACTGTTGATCATGGTATCCTCCTCTCGCGACTGTCCAATCGCTTTAGAATTACTGGAACTGTATTGGAATGGTTTCGATCATATCTTTCTGATCGTAAACAGTTTGTGCAGGTTAATGGTGCGTGCACTGCTTCTCATGTTCTTGAGTTTGGTGTACCGCAGGGATCCGTTCTTGGCCCGTTGTTATATTCAATGTACACATCCCCTCTTGGCGAGATTGCTCGACGTCATCAAATGTTCTATCACTTTTATGCTGATGACACTCAGCTATATATTACGTTCAGGACGTCGTCTGTTTCTGATATGAATCTGAGTAAAGCCAAATTGAAAAACTGTGTTCGGGACATGGTCGCATGGATGCTTTCCAACAAGCTGAAATTAAATAGAGACAAGTCCGAAGTTCTCGTAATATCCTCTTCCTATCGACCTCGGCCACCACTATCTTCTGTTGATATATGTAATGAGACTGTATCCTGCTCCCCCAGTGCACGCAATATTGGAGTTATCTTTGATCAGTGCCTTTGTATGGTACCTCATGTCAATGCAGTCTGTCAATCGTCCTTTTTCCATCTTCGTAACTTTGGTTTCATACGCAAATATCTTACTTATGATGCTGCAAAGATCATTATTCATGCCTTCGTAGTTTCTAAACTTGATTATTGTAATTCTTTATTGTACGGCCTACCATCCTTTCTTATTCGGAACCTTCAACATGTTCAAAATTCTGCCGCTTGCCTTGTCAACCGGTGTCCAAGACTTTGCCATATTACTCCAGTCCCGAGGGATCTTCACTGCCTCCCTGTCTCCTTTCGTATTGAATTTTAAATTATGTTAATTACTTACAAAGTACTACATGATCGAGCTCCAATCTATATACAGGAACTCCTTCAATTGTATACACCAAGCCGCAATCTTAGATCCTCTAATAGAAATTTATTAGTTAAACCCTATTTTAATCTCAATTCGTATGGTAAACGAGCTTTTTCTGTTGCTGCTCCGGAACTTTGGAATAACTTACCTGAGGATATTTAATCTGCAAACTCAATTGATGATTTTAATTAAACGCAAACTTAAAACATTTCTTTTTATGCGAGCTTATGAATCGTGATGTTTTTGTTTGTTATATGATTTTTTATCTATTGTGTACATTTATCTATTTTGCAGTTAGCGTCTAGTTTTAATGTCAATTTCTCGTGATTATTTTTACTTTTTAGTTTTATCTAATTTTTGTAAACAGCGCCTTTGAATCTTGTAGAAAAGGCGCTATATAAATGGATTATTATTTTTTTTCTCTGCCATTCACACTGTTTGAACCTTATGGAGCTGTATTTATCATGAATTCAAAGATACATTTGAGGAAAAATAACTCAAACGAGTATTTCAATACCATTTTGCATTATTTCCGTGTTTATTGACTCTCGGGCTTTAAATAGGCCGCTCGATTAAAGGAGTGGTCTTCTTCTTCGCTGCTCTCGCTGAAGTTCAGGTCACCGTTCTTTCGGTATTAAACCTTCCACGGCAAGGACTTCCACTTGTCCAATTGGGCACTGTTGTGTTTGCAGCCCGCTGTTATTTGCCTCAGAAATACTTTGCGATTCGCCAGCGTACAATAAACAGAGGATGAATAAAAAGTCGCTGGCCGTGTTGCCTGGAAACCCAAAATGCACGATGACGTGCAATTGGCGTCTTTATTATTGTTTATGGCTTGTTGCTAGGCAATTGCGGATACCAAACCGATAGAAAGATTTATGACCAAAGCGAAATCGCAGCTCGCTTGCGATCCTCGCGTAATCCACACGCTGCGCGCGAAATCGCAGCTCGCTTGCGATCCTCGCGTAATCCACACGCTGCGCGCGCGCGTGACAAAATTATACACTCGCTTCGCGAGAATTATTATTTAACCTACTATTTCCCTACTTCATCGTATGTAGCAGAGATCACTCATCCATTTCCAATGGCAGACCGAGGCAGCTAAAGAATGCCTACAGATATATTTGTCTCCCTAAGTTCCCATGTTATTGCTTAACCTCGGTCTGTGTATCTACCAGTGTGTGAAAGCCAGTAACCAATCCTCAATTACTCGTATGTAAACAATTATCGCCACAGTGGGGCTGGTGCTGGGGATCTTACAGGACGTGAAAATTACCCACTTTGAGCCTGTTTATGTACAGTAGATAAAACTTTTGGAAACAAAAAATTACAAAAAATATCAAAATATTCAATGATTTTCTTACTTTTTAAAAGTTAAATCATTATTTTTTTTATATATCAGAATGTCAGAATTATGGAAGCCTTAACAGTTATACCAGAAAGATGACGCACACTACAAACAGCTATTATTGTGACAGTGGAATAGGACCTGGTTGGTTTCGTTTCGAGGGGTCAGCCGGCACAAGAATGCCAACTTCATGTCCACCTACCAGAAGGTGTAACACTGCTGCAACCGGCTGGATGAATGGTGCACACCCCACAGTAGGAGACGGTCAGGTCACCAGGACGGTGTGTTTTCATTATTATGGCAACTGCTGTTACTGGTCAACAAACATCAAAGTGAGAAATTGTGGTTCATATTATGTGTACTATCTTAGTGGCACACCTAGTGGTCATTGCCATCTCCGTTATTGTGGTACTAACTGAAAACAAGGTGCAAGTAAAGTATTACGTAATGCTATCAAAAAAAGGGGAAAAAAAAGGACTTCAATATTTGAATTTCTATTATAACTTAAGCAAACGGAGAAAAAAAAATATATAGCACTTTAATATAGCTCAACGTACTACTCGAGTTAACAAGCAAGAACAGTTTTCTTTAAACTTAAAAAGAGGGTAGTAAATTTTGTTTTAAGTTGTTTTGAAGATCAAGTAAGAAATACAATTATAGTAATAGAACTTACCAGGAAGACAAACTAGGTAAAATAACACATTCAATAAGCAATACAGGTTTCTGTGTCACTTGTCGCGGTAATCAGAAATATACACTGAGCCCAAGAACGCCATGTAGTTGCTAAATAAACCGCGATGGAAACATGTGTTACTAGTTAGGACAAGATGTACCGGCAAGTGCGGGATATACATGAATCTGCTTACTTGTTTTAATATTGATGGGTATAGGGATGCACTCTGTAAAATCGGAAACCAAATGAATAGCGACTATAGGTACAGTCACTCTCGTCTTGCACGCACATCGGCAGTACGAACAGCAGCTAAATTCCCTTTCTACTGCAGACTCTTGCTTGCTAATAACAAGGACACAAGCCCTGCGGTCCCGATGGGGACTGCATTAGGTTGGGCAATTATTGGATTAGGATTAGAGTTTTTTTGAGAAATAAACGTACATCTAGTGAAATAACTGTCACATGTGTTTGTTCTCATTTAGTACGACAATAGGCTATTGGAGAGTTGGCGTCATTTTACTCACGACCAAAATCGCACGATTACAAGTATTACATAAAGGAGCGCTCTACCAACTGAGCTAAATCCAGGCCAGACGGTGGAGTTTTACTGTGTGAATCAAGTGTACAAGTCACACTCGTACGAAGGACACGAAAAGTCAACTGTATACTTGCGCGTGCTGAAAGTGAGAAACCCAACGAACTGACTCTAGAAAGAAACTTGAGATTAATTACGAAACAACGAAAAATCTTTTTACCCCTGCGAAAATTTTTAAGGGGCTGTCATGCTAAGAAGAGGGTCCTCAATAGGTTTTTCGAGATACGTGATTTCCCTCATTTGAACTCGAGATTCGGGACTTTAAAGCAAAATCAGGGAGAGATTTAGGGTTGAAAGTATTCGCAGAAGGTGGGATGCCAAAAATAACCCTCGGGATTACGGGATTGCATGAACTTTTGGGTCGGGATTACAGGAGTGAAAAACCCTATTGAGGACCCTCTGAGAATGAAAGCCTGCTTCCTCCGGGTCTCCATTACAGATCCCCAGTCTCTAGCCGTTTTGGAAAACTTCATCTTAACTCACATCTTTCTTACCCAATACCCCTGCCATATAAAAACACCGAGCTAGTTCACACAGTTGTTATACAGCTGAATTTTAGTCTATTTGCTGTGGTATACTAACACCCCTCTGGCCTTTCACAGCCTTACCTTATTGAGATCGCCTTGATTTCAAAGCGATCTTCATTGCTAATAACGCTGCCCAAATAAATAAAGTCATCAATGAATTCCAGTTTCGCCGGATATCTGGGGTGAGAGCATCGCCTTATCGCCCCATGTAAGGAAATCCAAGACAATCCTGGATTCTGAATTCCACGTCGTGGATCCCGATTCCAATCGTTAGTGGCATTCCGGATATCCTTGAGCTACGTTCCGGATTCCAAAGCCCAGGATCCGAATTCCACAAGCAAAATTTCCAGGATTCCAGATACCATTAGCGAAAATATTTCAGGGATTCCGGATTTCGATTCTCTTGCATAGCCCGAGCCTTGGGCTCTTAGCAAATCCGATTACTGCCCCCCCGGGGGGGGGGGGGGGGGGGGTACTCCTGGGAATTCTTGGTGGGGGTATGCTGCCCGGTTCTCCAAATCCTGACCCCATTCCAGACCTAAAAATGTAATTTTCCACACCCGTTTTCAGACCTGGCCTTTAGGCAGAAATTATGTTATCATTACATAGGTTAGAGCGGAAACAAACAAAAATTATTCAAATCCACTCCGTAGTTCGCTCGAAAACCATACCCGATCCCTGACCAAAATGGGCAAAGCGCATACCCGTTTCCATACCAAAACGACGCAAAAACCCTACCCGATGTGGTTACAGAAACCTATATAGCTTATATAAGTAAGTATCCCTCCCCCGGGTTACTGTCTTTTTCATCTTAAAGATGAGCACGATTACTCGAGAGTATAGCCAACTTATCGTCACTTTAAGATGAGTAAAGAAGGTCCAACTGTATATAAAACTCCTATGTTGACTGGTTTCTCTCAGAGACAGAGGATTCAACCATTCAACACAGTCTTGCTCCTCTTGCGTATTGCGAGGAATGATTTTAGTAAATTTGGTTTGCAGTAAGACCCGGCAGACACTTACAGATTATCTTACATTTGCAGATAAAAAATGTTGTACCTCTCACAGTGGGTGGAAATTCTAGTCATATCAAATGTGTTGTAGAGCCGAGCTGATTCTCTAATGCAACAGCATTGACAATCTGAAATGTAAATCCACAAAGTGGACGAGGATGTCATATACTGAATTCATTGCATTGTTTGTTTTTATTCTGGAAAGCGCAAGAATCAAGGCAGCCGACTAGTCAAGGCGAACAAAAGACCCTTGATAAAAACTATCAATACAAATTTAATGGTTAGAGGAGTTGTTTGTTAAAGGAAAGGAAACGGTAAAGAAAATTCATTATATACTTTTTCATACGTTTCATACATGAGCCTTGGGTTCGGATGATCGGCACTACCTCATCCCACGTATTGACATAAATAATTGGTTGATTGATTTCTTGATAACCTTTTGGGAAAGAAATTTTTAATAGTAAAGTGTAATTTTTTTTTATTGCCCTCGGACAGGGAATAATCAGTTCTATGAGGCAGATCAGGTAAAATAAAGGGCATGTAATGAGTGACATTCAAGAGTACGCCGATGACTACATCTGTTAACAACAGCGAAAAAAGATCCCTGCTTCGAGACAGGAATGTAGCCATGATTGCCAAGTGAAGCCCGACACTCAAAAAAGAATACTTCCGTGTGAACATTCTGTTGCCTGGTGGGCAAATAAGTGTGAGGGGGAAGAAAGGGACCAAACAAAGGGAGCCTAGCTGTGTTCATATTAGTTTTTAAAGTTGTTGCATTTTTAGGCCCCTACAATGTGAATAGTTATGTCAATTCTCCAAAGACTGTTTCCCCGCTTTCTGCGACCTTAACTTTAGTCCAAAAATAGTTATATCCATTTTAGGAAAATTAATGCTTTACTTCTCCCTTTACTGTCAACGCAACAGAAATAATGACTTTCAGCGAACACGATGGGAATATTACTTTCAAGAAAAGAAGTATTGGATTTAATTAAAGCAAGATGTCGGGAGAGCATCACGTCCCGCCTGTCCTCTTCGCAATTTTTGCTGCAGCTATGCTTCTTGCTCACGGAAGTCAAGGTACACCTACCTTAAAATATGTTTTGGTTAATTAACACTCTAAACAACACATTTCATGAAGTGCTGATAGTATTTAGCGTTTTTCTAACACTGAAATTGTAAGTTTTAAGAACGGAAAACGCAAATTAGCGATAAAATAGTCTGAAAATTTGCACCATATGCTTCTCGAATTATATTCAGTTAAAGAGCGTTTGTATATATGATTTTAGACGAGAGAATTTTTTGCGCGTCTCTGGTTTGTCTTTGTTTGAATTTTGCTTTTACTTTTTGATCGCGCGCGCAGTCATAGAGTGTACGCTAAGACATATTCAGGGAGAGCTATAGGTGAGGCCTTTGTTTAACAATAATAATCATCCTTGATTGCTATTGAGGAAATTGAGCAACTAAACCCGATTTCCGTGATATAATTTTAATTTTGCAATGATTCAGACGATTGGGTACAATGGGAAAATTCTGAATGTCAAACCCAATGCCGGAGCAGTACAAGACAATTATTCCATTATTTTCAAAAGTCTGGCGACAGTCCAACAGCATACTTGTAATTCGGTATGTTTAAGCTTCCAATTCCATGCCCATTGCTCAATCTGGCTTCCCCAGTTAGTGTTACATCATAGACTCAATTTCTACATCTTTCATCTCTAGCATTTTACAGGACACTGCAACCTCCTCTGAGTTTTGCGAATTTATGCGATACGCGTGTTGCTAATAAATGTAATCATAAAGAGTCACAACAAAACAAAGTAACTACATGGAATTCTTTCAACTGGTATTCGGGGAAAATAATACAATACCCTAATTATGACGAAAAAACTTGTCTGATTCAGGTGAAATTGTGTACTTACTTAGGAATTTAATAAATATTATTTCTTTAAGTTTCCCATTCTTCGCCTTTCACTACTCCTTTATATTTATATTTAGTTTCAGCGTTTTTTGACCCCTCCAATCGTACTTGCGACTCCTAGTCACCAGTTTCCTGAGAGTACCTTAAGACGCCATGGCAGTCTGGGTGGAGGATTTGACAGAACACAGTTTCCAAGTCTGTCTTTAGGGAAGTGAAAATTTTTGATGGACTCATAGGGGCATCAAAATTGTGAGTAAAATGTTGTATCCACCTGGGGTTTCTGAGCTTTCATGATGCTCATTTGCACCTCATTGCACAAAGCGAGGAAAATAGAGATATACACAAGGAAATAACATTCTGATTACACCACTTCATAGAGGCGAATGCGATTCGAAGGGATTATTATTTCTTTAAAGTATTTGTCTGTTTATGATTGGCTTAATCACGGTTAACTTTCATAACGTGCTTCCGTTGACCAAAAAATGAGTCACTTTCACGGATAATTGATTGTTTAGAAAATGGGACAACAGAAGGCGTTTTACTTTGTTCGGCTGTTCAGCTAGAGCCCTGAAATATGGCGAAAACTAACGCTTCCTAAAAACAAAGTAAAAATTGCAAAATATCACATGCGCGAAAAATGATGACTACTATTTAAAGAATATCTCAGCTAGATAAATACAATTCCTGAAGTTA